GAGTGTTCTATGGTCTGCTGGGGTAATAATATAGTGTAAAGCGCATAGAGCCTGCTGTTGAGCAGGGATATGCGCTATACAAATGCTATCTATTATTGTTATTATTATAATTATTATTATTATTATTATTATTATTGTTGTTGTTGCTGCAAAGGCTATTGTTGTTGATGGGTGGTTGGGGGGTGCTCTGGTGTGGTTTGCTTCTTTGTCGTCCTTATCCCCCTTTGTTACTCTCCTGTAACACCTCTAATCTTCTGGCGCTCATATGACCTTATGCAGTTGCGAGCGCCGTAAAACGTCCTACTAAAACAAACAAATATTGTTGTTGCAATGCTTTTGTTGTCGTTATATTATATATTGTTGTTGTTGCTGCTATTGCTATTGTGGTAGCAGTCGCTGGTTTTGTGGTTGTTGTTTCTGTTGTTGTTTTTGTTCTGTGCTTTAGATCTCGCACATATGTAGTAGCCTTTCAGTAAAACGTGAGTAAGTGTTTTGAATTTTTTTCTCTCCCTCCAGATTCACTGGCCTTCTGACTGAGCCGGGCGGCAAATCCTTGACCATCAGCGTCTGGGGCTACCTGAAGGACACCAAGAAGTGGACGCTGAACGTCATCGACTTTGGAAAAGTTGTCACCAAGCACTGTGAGTCGTGAAGTCTACTTTACACTTTACTCATCTTTCTAGCTTTTTCTTTTCCTTTTTTTGTTTTGTTTTGTTTTTGTTTTTGTTCAGGCAGGTTTTCTGGATGTTTTTTTTAACTAGTTAAAAAACCACAACTTTATAGAACAATTTGAATAAACATTTATGGTCAGTGTTTGTGTATAGGTTTGATGGCCCTTTCAGGCCTGTAAGGATATACCAGGAGCAGGATTTTTTGTAAAGTGTTTTACGGCGCTCACAACTGCATACGGTTATATGAGCGCGCAGGACACACCTTATATTTTCAGTTGGTAGGAAATTTTGAATTTGCCCGGGTGGCGGCCGAAGCCTACTCTTATCAATTTTAGACCACCAAGGGATCTTTAACGTGCGCAACTTGCACACGGGCCCTCCGAGATTTTTCGCCTTTGTCCGAGAAGGCTAGGTGTAGATCTTT